ATAATAATTATAATAATAATACTCAGTGGTTTTTTGGGGGGGGGAGGGGGGGTAGCGATGATGTTCAGAAACAGCTGAGATTTCCTTTCACAATCCCCTAGCTGCTAGGAAGAGCAGATGTGACTCTTGGAGTGTGGCACGTATAACAGGCAGAGTGAAAGGGAATTCTGGGGTTGGGCAAAGTAAATGAAACTGCGAAGCTGCTTTAAAACTCTGCTTGGCAAAATGGTAGGCACCAATATTTCAGACACCTAACTTCTGTCATCTGCAGCATGGACAACACCAGCAACACAGAGTTTTGCAGGGGTTTCTTTTCCTATACTTGACTGCAAGTCTGAACTTTTCTTTTGAAGTTTGAACATAGTCTTGGGTATTGCTTACATTCATTTCAATATTGTCTATTATTCCTCCCTGCTCCTCCACCAGAAGTGAAATCTGGATAAAGAGTTCTTTTAGGTCTTTGATCTGATTCTCTAAATTGACCAGTTCTTTGTGCCTTTGTTCAATCTCAGATAACTGAGCTCTAGTGATTTTTACTTCAGTGAGCAGGTTTTCATTGAAAACCTCCCATTTTCCTTGCTGAAGCATTTCATTGACTTCTTCTTCAGATACTTCTTTGCCGGCTACTTCAAGCTGACGGATAATAAAAGTCTTGCATTTTTCCTGCTTGGCTATTATAACATCATTGTACAAATGCATGGTTTTCTGGAAATGCCGGAATAGGAAAGCATACTGTGATGTAAGAATTCTTGCAATAGCAGAAGATGGCCCATGCTCTCTTTCAGCCTTCTTCACGGTTTTTGACAATTCCTCTAAGTTTTTATTTATTTGCTCTGCTTGAATTTTTATTTCTCTGGTAATGTTAGACTCCCTTTTAAGAACACTGAACCTTCTCATTGAAGACACAAGGCTTTTCTGTTGCTGACCAAACTTTTGAACCTCCTCTGCTAGGTTACTAATGTCATCCTGTAGCTTTTGGATTTCATGTAAGTGCCTCTCTGTTAGGGGCTCTTTCTCATAAATAACTGCTTGCTGCTCAAGCTGTCCTTGTTCCTCTTTCCCCCCAGGCACACGGCTGTTCTCTTCATCTAGTTGCAGTTCCTTTGTTCTCAGTTTAAGCTCTTGAAGACGGTCTGCCATTTTTTCCCCACCCTCTGTGACTGAGTAGTGAACAAACTCTGGTACCAGTTCTTGTCAGCTGATGTCACTGTAATCCTAACAATAAAAAAAAATACATATTAATGCTGCTTTTTAGCAACTATCTATGTACAGCTTAATTATACAATGTGGAAAGACAGGAAAATATAGAAACGCTGCTATAGTATGTGGAAACTAATGCCCCAAAATGGTGTTTCTGTACACTTCTGAATGATCTCTCTGCTAACCTCCAAGGCCAGAATAAGTACCAGTAAGTTTTAAAATCTTTCTCTCTCTTTTTTTTTTTTTTT